TCCCATCCTCGTCTCGCAAAAAAAATATTTTTCCCCACCCAATCCCTGTTACGGGATCCCTGCAAAAATCAGAAAAAATTTTCATCCCTACTTTCTGCATAGGGCGGCGTCCCTCCACACACCACACCCCTCAAATATAATGAATAAATTTCTAGATTGATGGGACATGAGAGGATCAATTAAATTCCAAGAGTGGCTATGACTGCATAATAACGTGTTAAAGTTTCATTCATACGTGTGTTGTTAAATGTATTTAAAATTTTAATAATAATTAAAATTCAAATTATAACACTATTATATTAAAACTTTTTATCCTCTTACCCTTAAAATTTTACCTATTCAAATAAATAATGAGTTAAAGTTATATAAATTTATTAATATTATTTGTAAAATATAGGTCTTTTTTTATTTAACAATTAATAACAATTGATATTTATTATTAAATAAATTAAAATTAACTTATAAATTAACATTTTTAAACATCATAATCAATTAAAGAAATTGTAAATTAATAAAGTATCAATCCACCAAACACTCACTATAATAACACATATACGCGGTCTTAACCACCCTAACCTCCATAAATATTAAATATGAAATTTTTTAATTTGTGTCTAAAAATATTTGTTATATTTTTTATTATTAATTTATATAAAAAAATTTACTTTAATTTTATCAATTATTTAATTAAAATATTTCACCTAATATTGTAATTAAAAATTAATTTTCATTTTACAATTTTTGATATAAATTAATAATAAAAATATAATAAATATATCATTAACATGGTTCTAAAAATAAATGTTAAACAAACCCATTACCAACGAGGGGTTGGATCAAGTAGTAAGCGGCTTGTTCCAGTTTAAGTAAGGTCTCGAGTTCGAGACCTTGTGTATGCAGCAGCTCCCGCTGGGAGACCCACCCACCATTTCCAAGTGCGCGATGCGGGTCGAGTCCGGATTAGTGGTCGAGTCCGGATTAGTGGGGGCGAAGCCTCGGATATCGAACGGGAAACCAAAAAAAAGAAAAAAAAAAAAACAAACCCATTAAATATATCCCTAAGTCTTCCTACCTACAAAATTGCATCAACGACCAATCATATTTTTCTATGTTTGGGCCACAGAGGGATAGTATAATATAAGTCTCGTTCTCTCAAAATTTTTAAGAAATTATCTAAAAACTTAATTTATAATTAATATTTTTAATATTTTTTAATTAAAAATATCAACTTTTACTTTTTTTTATTTAAATATTTTAACTTTCAACATTTTAATCAAAAAAATCAATTTGCCACATTAGCATCATTATTCAATTAATTCTTAAATA